TTGTCATAAAAAAGAGAAAACGAGACATGAAAATGAAATAGACTCTATTTATCTTAATACATGTTAATCTTAAAATTCAGTGGTTTTCCACAGAGTATAAAATAGACCTAACAGGTGGTGATGCTATGTATTTGATAGAGTGGACATTCAATTTTAATTAAACTTACAGACGTCGGACATGTAATGTTATCTGGGCTATATAATAGTTAGACAAATGTTTCACGCTCCCAGACAGGCAATAAATATTTGAAATAAATAGAGTAGAAAATCACGCTATTATATAATGTTGGTTTTAATTTACCAGTATAATAATAATAATTTTGTCTCAATATAAGTTTATAACTAGTTTTCAAAATGGGTAAGGCTAAAATTTATATACAATATATAGATCAGATTAATTAATAAAATAATATTTTGTGTAAAAGTGTTTTGATGAAACAAGTACACAAGTATTATACCCAAAAAACAATAAAATCTTTTACATGTTTAATGTTATACTCTATTAGAAGTGTTTTAACGGAAAAATATATCAAAAAACATATATTAGTTGTAAGTTATACGCTATGATGCCTGCATTCCAATCTATTTAGAGAGAGAGAGAGAGAGAGAGAGAGAGAGAGAGAAAACAAGTGGCTATCCATTACAAAAGAGTACTAGTATCATATTATAGTAGGGCAGACATCAAATAAGGCTTCACTCAAATTCTATTCACGAAAATTGTAGTTTTATATTGTATTCAACGCTTAATATAATAATATTGGCGTTCAGTGTGAAGAATATTCCGTACATTTAGTGCAGGCATTAGTGGAAGCAAAATGTCATTACATTTTCCGTAACTCTCATAACATTTACTTTTTATGAGATTTGTTCGCAAAAATAATTCGATTGGCTTTAGAGACGGTCCGAGTTTTGTGGTAAACCACTGATAACTATATGACTAATACATAACTCTTATCTAATAAAATAGTGTTGAAATATTTGTGGCCCAAATATAAATAAGCATTTTGATTTTTTCCTGGTTTCTGTACCTCTTGACTAGATATTGATGTATATTTCGATTCCGATTTGTTTATAATCTAATCACATATTTGTCAATTTTACATGTAAATCATTTTTTAGGCGGAATTCTCTGGGATTTTATTTATTTATAGACTTACAAGTTATAAACACTTGAATATATCTTTTTTTGTGAATTACGTAAACATTTTTATGTAAATATGTTTTTTGCTATTCAGCTAAAAAGGATGTTCAAAACACTTTAAGTAATAATTAGTTTTTGCATTCAATTTCAACCCAAATTCATCAATGATAACACCTCGCTATGCTTAAATTAATTTATATAATATAATAAATAAAAGGTTAACTTTTGTAAAAATATTTAGCATAAAGATTTAATTCATATTCCAGTAGAAATTTAAAGCACCTGTTTTTAAAATAATTGAATGGTGAACACGTATTTCCAAGTAATTATTTTTAAAATGAAAGATAAATATAAAATAACTACAGTGAAACTTGCATTATTTGCTTGCTATTATTGGTCACAATTCAATTTGAATTATCTTTCAAATTCTCAGAAACACCCACTTTGTAGACCAAAATTAAATCTATAGTCTATTGTTTTGCTCATAAGTAGACTATTGTTTAATCATATAATCATGTATTCTACGGATTATAAAGTCTTATATTTATTGACTTCAAATTTTATAATAATAATTAAATTTTCTAGGATTAGTTTTCTATAATGAGATTAGTAATTTTCTATAATCTATAATGAGATTAGTTTTCCGATTTCCGATTATGTATTATGTATCAAAATATTAATAATTAAGGAAAAATAATTATTCGGATTTTATACAACATTTTGTCATAAATAATGAAGTATTTACCAAATTTATAGAAATTATATAACACAATATACATTCATTTTTATTGCGTAATAATTGTATTGTAAACAGACTCAAATTTTTCAGGGGCTGCCTATCTAGAGTAAATGACAGAGGTGGGCAGGGTATGTTTTTAAAAATGTTTGTTTTAATTAATTTTTTCTATTTTGCTTTTAATTATCTTATATTTAAAGAAAATAAAGTATTTTATTCAATATTATATGCATTTTAACAATATTTGAATAAAAATAAAATATAAATAAAGTTGTTAAATAATAATTACCGGTATTTATTTTTTCTAGAATATTTATATGCATATAACTAGTATTTTAGCAAAATATGTTTAGTTTAACCAACCGATCAAACCTAACTGAATCTAAACCAACAAAATAAACCAATTTATATCATAAGTGATAATAAAACACTACATCTAAAAGTATATAAATTCAACGATAGGATGGTTTGTCTCCAAAAACATGAACCTATGGACCCAACCAACCAAATCGGACCAAACCATAACTTTTTATGAGAGAAATAATGATCGGCTTAACCTTTAATTTCAGAACTCATTTTTGGCACATGAACTCCACATGACATGGTCCACGTCCATACCACCCACCCTCCTAGATTTCATGTCTTTTACTATAGCTAATCCATGTTAAATTGCCATTAATCAAATATTTCCTGCCATTAATTTGTTTTATTAAACATGTTTTTAATGTACTATAGTCGTGTTAATATTAATGTATAAAAGATACTACATTACTCATTTATTTTGTTAATATTGTACAATAATTCATATGAAGGTATTGTATTATGAATATGCAATTTATTCCCCATATATTGTGTAACAAGTGTTAGTGTGTGTCGTTATACAGTATTTATTATTAATTAATGCATAATATTTGATATGAGATTACATATTACGACTGTATTTCATTTCCCGTTAAGTTATTATTATTTGTATAAAATCCAGGACTACTAAAGTGTCAATTAATTTCTAAATAACTTATAAATATTGTTGATTATCATAATGATTATGGACAGCACTAATAAAATACTGTAAATATAAATATACTGCATTATTTTATTTTGTTATGCAGTGAAGTGTCTTTTACAGAACCTTATATTCCCAAATTACAATTATTCTCTTGATATTATATATATTGTATAATTATAATTGCTAATAATAAACTCAAACATAAATGATATAATTTTTATAAATATTTATATAGACTATTCACTATATATTATATCTACACGTGACTATATAATAAAATCCAATTACATTATTCGGACATTTTCAAATATTATGCTTACTTCTGATTTTCTAATTAACTTTCAGTAATAAGAAATTTAAGCTGTCAAAAGTGTGATAAACTGTGTAGTAATTAATAGAATAATGAATTTTAAAACATATTACAAATCACATGTTGAGCTAAATTTAGCAAAATTTAGTTTGATTTCATTGGGATTTAATATCATATAGAAAGCATTCAATATTTTGTTTGAAACCATTATTTTGACAAATGGGTTCAAAAATATTATATTTAATGCATTAAGACTGTGGGTTTGTATAGATAGAGAGAGGTCTTACTTTTTTACTTATGGAAAGTGTTATTCTTTAGAAATACTCTTTCAGTTAAATATAATAACCGTATTATGAATTGAATACAAAAAACCAAACATCCATTAAGCATAAGATAATTTGGTTTTGCATCAGTCATACAAAAAATAGTTATTATTAATTTACTATTTACTCTATTGACATTAAGCTTGCAAAATAGAGTTCACATGGATTATTTGTAATTTTTTTTAAATAGATGAAATCTAGTGAATGCTTGTCCTAAATATATTATAAAAGTACTGTATATTAATATTTATAATGATTTGACTGCCAATATTTTGCAGAAAATATAATAAAAGGTTTTTGAAAAATAAAATATGAAAAATTATAGCAATAAAACAGCTATACTGTAGCTATAAATCAATATTTGCGTTACAATTAAATTTCACTAAAGAAACCCTTTTAAATGCAAATTTGTTTTCATGTTTAAGTTTAGCATTCATTTTTGTTGAATATTTAATTTGATGTTTAAATAGTCAGAATATACTGTAGTGTTAATTATTAAACAAAACTATTTTATTGAAATACAAGTATATCAACCTTTTTATATTGATTTATGTAATATCCGAAAATCATATGATTTTAGTGTTTATTTTTTACATGATATTAATAATTAATTAAATGGCAAATAATTAATATAATACCTGAAAACTAAATACATAAACTAACTTGTAAGNAACTCATGACCCCTAACGTTCAGGTTTAAAAGTATAATATTGATTAATTTATAATTTACAATCAATTTATAAAATTACTTTTAAAAATATTATTTTAAAATTGATATGACTTCCAGGGGTTTAGTGTCATACAATGAACAATGAATTGTTTTTAAATGACCAATAATAATAATTATCAATAAACAGTTATGATTTAGAGAAAATAGTTATTTTATTACAGTTTACACACAAATGATGGCAGTATGCATACAAAACTAAATCTTATAATAGTTATATTGACCATGTTATAAATTGTTTTATATGTTTTCTATTGTTTTTTATAATATCTCAAATATTTAAATTTTTATAATATTTAAATTTAAAAATGTTATTTAATTAATATAATAGAGTTCTTAAATAATATCATAATTAAAATAAAAATCTTATTATAAAACAGTAATCAATAGCCAAAATAAATATTTATTGAGATAAAATATTTAATGAACATTAAAGAAATATAATATTTATATTTTACGAATACAATTACAACAAATAATTTTTAAACATTTTAATATAAATTTACAAAATATAGCAATACTATATGTAGATAATATTGAGTATACCAGTATCATATAATAACTAATTATGAATTAAATTAAAATTCATTTAATATTCACATAATACAAAACATTTTAAAACTCAAAGTATTTCTAATTTCATTTACATATTCCGACATGTATATTATAGTGAAATGTATACCATGACTATAAATGTTGAATAAATTTATAAACCATTAATAATTCAAAATTTCCAAATTAAAACAAATTCTTTATATGGGATTCAAAAAATAGATATAACTTCAATAAAACACAGAACCTGTCGCAATTTTATAAGTTATTTAAATTTGTTAATTATATTTATAGTACACATACAATGTATAATACCGTACTGTAACAGTATGAGCTGAATATTTTTAAATCGCTTGATCAAATTTGATTTGTACACATTTGATGACTAAATTAGCATATATTCTGCGAATAATTAGTATTCTGTTTACGAAATTTGCTTTTTAGACATCAGTTTTATCATCAAAATTCTTGTCACTTTTGGTGGTAGTGGTTGTCGTCCTCTTCTTGTATTTGGTTGAGTAAAGGGTTACGAATTGACTCCTTGTATGCGATTCACTCTCGTCCTGGAGATAGTCAGAGCGCCGGCATTTCAGTTGAGAAAAGTATTTATTCAGGACTGAGTATAAATTGACCTACAAATGTGTAATTAATAATCTTATATTAGATTAACATGGTAAGCAACTAATTAATGTGAAATAACTTAAAGTAAGCGTTAAATAAGACTCACGCGAAAGTTAGAGCTCATAAAGCAATAGACAATAGGATTGACAAAACTGTGGCCTAAAGTCGAGTAAAATATTGTATTTTATTATAACATATAAATGATATTCAGGTGTGAAATATGGGAACAAACTATACTCACCCATAGACATGAAGTGGCAAATAAAGTACATCCAGATGTATGTCCGGTAACCAAGTTTTGTCTCAACGGTTAGTATTTGTGGATAAAACCAGACTAAGAGACTGAACACATGGATTGGAAGCCAACAAATGGCAAACAGCAGTACAATCATCGCCAGTATACTGATCACCTGTTTATATAAAAATAATAAACATTATTTGATTAATTGAATAAAGACTTTATTTATAATTAAATAGTTATTATATTTAATAAATATTTAATAAATTTTTATTCTTATTATAAACCTAAATATAAACCAGTAATTCAATATAATAATAATGCCATTAGTTACTTTGAACATATTTACTAAAAACTATTATTAGATTCATATATGATAAATAATTAATTTATAAATTCCTTAATTAAAGTGTACTATGATTGATTAAATTTATTATAAAGATTAATTGTAAATATAAGATGCACAATGTGTTATATGATAATATTTTTAGTGATAATTATAGTCTATTTATATTTTATTAATCATAAAATTTGTTTTGTTATATGAGGAATTTAAACCTACAAAAAAGTACATATTAATTAATGAAATTATTCTCAAGAATCTCAATTATTTTTTCTAAATAGGAAAAAAGAAACTAGTTGAAAGTTATTTGATAAAATATCTAAAACTTGTAATTAAATATAATGTGATGTAGCATATTGTGAAATATTGTATAGTAATACTCAGCAGTTTATATTATAAAGTTTATGAAATTCTTTGTCATGAAATTATTTTTAAATAATGTGTTTGTATTATTTTTTAATTTAGAATTTTTTTTTATTCAACGAGATACTATAGTATATGTATATGTTATATATAGTATATGTTCAGATTTTTAAAACTAATTGCATTATGTTCGTGTATATGTAATTTACTAACTTGAAACTTTAAAAATGTGTGTAGACCTTTAAATTGAGATGTCATTTTGACAGATTAATTAAAACTTATCAAAGTATGAGATAATAATAAAATATCAAATGAAGGAATATTTTACTTTAAGCAAAGAATATATAAATTTATTTATTATTTAACAGAAACATAATTAAATTTCTGTCAATGAATAAAAAGTATAATAATTATTAAATTATTCATAATAATAAGTGATTTTACGCAATTTGTTTACTCTGTGATCGAAATTAATTTGAATAATATAAGTATTAATTATTTTGTAAATATTTAATACAGCCTTCAGGTGACAGTTTTGTAGACTTTTTCAGTTAAGAATTTAATTATTAAAATTAAAAAAATTGAGATTGCATTTTAATTGTATTAGGACGTTTGATTTTTTAAAATGTCTATTCAAAAAGCCTAGTATTGCAAACATCACTACATAACATAACATTTAATTAGCTAATGTTTAATCAAAATAGCGGTTAATAGTCTAATATAAATGCCATTTCAGTTGCAAAGACCAAACATTGAATTAAACATTGAATTAAACATTGAATGAAACAGTCTTTGAATATAAATAACAAATTAAGTGAAATAAAACAAAAAACGTCAGGATTGTTTTATAGATTAGCGTATGTCTCAACAACTGTTAAGGAACCAAAAACCACAATAGAAGTGAAACATTGCATTACAAGACAAAACTAGTAATATATTTGCACAAAAGGAAACTATAATTGAAGTACAGATTCCAACAGATTTACATTTTCATTAAAAGTCAATTTTTGCACATTACACTTAATAGATTCTTTCACATTTTATTTAATTCTTTGTAAAACCATTCATTATATTTGTATATTTGAAAAATTGTGATTCAAGGTAATAATAAAAATTCTCGTGTCTATTAACCAGAGTACATTTTTCTCAATTTAGGTAAATGAAGTATTTATTATAATACACTGTATTAATACAAGTAAAATAAACTTGAATTTCAATATAATATATATTATTTCTGATTCGTGAGTAAAAGTGTGTTTTAAATAGTAACTACAAAATAATTTATTTTAAGCCCATTTGTTAAAACATAACTTGTCAATTCTATGCATGCAATTGTTTTGCATTGTTTTTGTGGATTAAATTGGTTCCTAATTGGGCTAAAAAAGGATTAAATTGTGGTTCACTTTTGACTTTAAATTCAAATCACATTTACTTCAAATCATATATTATTGTGTTTCTATAGAAATATCTTTTTAATGTATTACACAGTATTTTAACTTTATTACTAGAGGAATTAATTAGTAAGTGTATAAAACACTGCAACTATTTAATTGCTTTTAATCTCAAAATCATTTCAAAGTGCTTTACAACTATATAAAATACAATTTATATTTAAAGTTTGTTTTATAAGAATATGTGAATTTCCGTATAAATATAATTATATTTCAAATAAGAGGTAAGTGATCCAGAACGGTTTATGTGATTCATTAATTCACGGTTAATAAAGTTAAGAAACATATGAATAATGCTATAGATATTAATATAATGTTTTTACTGCTATACTATTGAAGTCTACAAATGATTATAACTAAAGAGTTTCCATTCAAATGAATCACTAAACACACGCTTATGGAGCACAGGTAGCTCTTGTCTGCAATAAAATATGAAATACGACAATGAAATTGATAGCAAAACTGAAAGACCTTATATACCTTATCCTTACGATTCCGTTGGGTGTCGTCCCTCTGTTTGTCTTCATTGCCGGGTATGACGTGACGCCAGACGTGGAAACCAATGGACGAGTAGACGAACACAAGTATAGTGAGCGGCAACGCAAATGTGGCCACAAATATGACTATAGTGTAGGTGCGGCCCCAGTAATCGTCCCATATCTCGCGGCAATCGTAGAAGTTGTCGGTGCCGTACGTGAAGGGCAGGGCCCGCGAGTAGACCAGTTGTGCGGCCCCGACACCCATCCCTCCCAACCATAGGATGGAAATGAGAAACCATTTGTTACTCCGAAGCCATTCGACGACATCCGATGTCTCCCGAAGCGGATGAATGATTGCGTGATATCTGAAGACATCATGAGATCATAATTAGACAAACAATTAATTTCCACACATTTCTGTTCACTTTTTATTGACTCAAACATTCATTTATAAGAAATTCTGTCATAAATTGTGTCACATTTTCTTGTGTCTACTCTTCCGGACAGTTGTCATAAAAAATTATGTTTTCACTCAAAGTCTGGTTGTTTCTGAACGCCCACTGACTCTCATATAGTGCTGAATATACAGCAAAACGGACTTTTATTTTGGCAAATAGTTTTGGGTAATATATTAAATTAAAATTAAATTCATGATAAATGTGCATAACATGTTAACTACATAATATCACATGTGAGCTTTGAATTGAAAGTGCTTTTAATTTAAAAGTCTTTTCCAAAAATAGCAAATATTCCAAGCATTTCATGAAAAACTAATTTTTAGTGTTGAATGGAAAGTGTTATAAGAATTATAGCACAGAATCTGGAATCGTGTAAACCAGAGACCTCAAAAGTTGTTTTTTACAAAAAATATGAACAACATATTTTATTTTATTTATATAGATTATCAGTAGATAAAGTACTTTACAAACACAAATATCATAACACATGTGTGAGTAGGGATTATTAATTACTAATAAAGCAAGGGATTA